AGGGAGCGGGGGCAGAAACGGCGCTTTGTAAGGGTGCATGAGAGGTCGGTTGCCCTACGGCTGTTGCGAGCACGTTGGCGGCGTTCAAAAGGGCATAGGACTGCTGAGGCAGATGATCGGGAAAGGTGTGATAGCCAGTCCCTTGCTGTTGTTGATATTGTTGTGGGTAAGGGTTTTGGTAGGCGGGCATTTGGGGTGTCGCAGAAGCTTGAATGAGGGTGGGCGGGGCTTCCTCGATCAGGAAAGCCAGGCTGTCCCCGCCATCCAGGTTCTCTCCAGTCTGGCTAGTACTATGGCCTTGCACCTGAGTAAATCCTGAGCCTCCCAGTGAAAACTGCATCTGTTGGCTAAAGAAATTGCCTAAGAATAAGTCTTCGGGACTGTTGAGTAGAGGCTGATGATCGGAGGCGCCGGGAGGCTCGGAAATACCCTCCTCGGTGGGAAAGGTGTCTACAAAGAAGGGATAGTCAGTAAATGCGCTCGCAGAAAGAATAGCGATATTGTGGTAAGCTATTAGTGACGACTCACATCCGAATGGACCTGCCAGAGTGGCCATCGAGGGCGCTTCAGACGACATGTGCGAATGGTACGCAGGTGAAAGGCGGACACGAGGTGGACGATCCTACAAAGCTGTATGTGATATGCGAGGCGAGCGTGAGAATGCGAGTGGTGATAGAGCCGAGACGAAAGGACGTTGTGCTCGCGGATTCATGGTCTGATTCCACTACCAACTACAAGCACATGTAGCGCGTTTGCGTGCGAGTCAGGCGCGGAACACGCCCTCAACAGCACGGGAAGCTCCAAGCAGTTGCAAAGAGCACACAGGAAACTGGCGAGGAGCCTATAAAGCGAGTTGGCGGAAGCTTTTGGAGATGGTGGGGGAGGAGTTGAGGTGAGGCGAGATTTGCGAGCTTGGGAGGCGCGGGCGGGGAAGTGGTGGGCAGGCGCACGACTGGGTAGTAAGGTGCGGGGACTAGGGTGGAGGTGAGCAGAGGAGAGAATTTAGCAGCAGAAGGGCAAAAGGATATGTATCGTAGGTATGTAGACGAGCTATAGTTTTTGACGATGAACAGGTAGATGGAGAAGAAATTGGTGTGAGGTTGAGGGATGAGGTTGGTTGAGGTTAGGGTATAGCGGACGGACACAAGGCAGAATGGAGGTTTGAATGCGATGAGATGGAAAGCGAGGAGACAGGACTGGGGTCTGGCTTTCCTCTTAGGACTTGAGAAGTAAGGACTGGGATAAGGTGGAGACTTGCAGTAGCGCGATGTGAGGGATGGGTTAGCGGAGAGAGGAGAGTGGGTTGAAGAAGACTAAAGAATAGAAGCGGAGGCAGAAGCAGAGAAGCAGGATAGATCACATGCAAAGAGCATCCTGAGCTACCCCAACGCCATCGAGTTTGCTGACTACGCAGGACGTTGGTTTGCGCAAGAGTACTTCGTAGAAGGTCGGCGTTGGCCGCTGTGCTTGTACCGTAGCGTGAAGCGGGAAGGGGGCGTGCCGATGCAGATATGGGGGGGTAGAGGGGGGAAGGGAGGGGTTGGTGAGGCGGTCAAGCCCTAACAATAGGAGGGGGGCCCCCTACTTTACGGCGTCTTCATCATTGCAGAGGAGGTGGTAAGCTCTAACCATGAAAGGGAGGACCCCTACTCTCACAGCAGAACTGTCAGTCAGCAGGCATCAGGCATCTCAACCACCAGCATCAAGCATCGCGACTACAGGCAATGGGGTAACAAACGAAGCTCCACCATCTCATTCCATCGCCATGTTACTGTCCATGACAATGATCTCCACCATCCCTCTCCTTCCCTTCATTCTTCCCTAACACAATCGAATAATCGGCTGGCGCAGGCATTCCAGTCCTTCACCTTTACTGGCGCTCTCTCCCCACTCCTTTCACCGTCGCCTTCCATACTACAGTGCTTTGCTCACGACGTGCTGCGTTCGCGTAAACGTTCACCAGAAACACCCAGGCAACTTCCACACTCCTTTACGTCCGAAGCACAAGATCGAGATCCCAAACCAAAAATGTCTAGCGCCAACCACCTTTGCACGGTAACTCTCGTCTATCTAGAGCATCCTTGAGCCTCCAATCTGGAGCAAGCTCTCGGATCTGTTTCTAGCTATCCGAGCCGGTTGCACTTTTGCAAGCTGGCTGCTACGCAATGGTTTGAGCTTCGACCAACGTCAATCTAGAGCACGGAATGAGAGCAGGATAGGGCTCGTATACTTGTTTAAGCTCCGTTGAATAACTTCCCTTCGTCCGTCACGCCCACATCCGCTTCCTCTCTTCAAGTGGACGTATGGCCTCGCAAACCCCAAGAGATCCAAGGATATCCCACCACTCCCCACCCGTTGGCGCGACTCAGCCTATCCCATTTCTCTATTCGCTTTATCCCTCTTCAAACAAGACTCCAGATCGCTCCCCCAGCCTAGCCCCCCCTACCTTCCAGCTCTGGCTGCCCTTGGCTCGAGCTAGTCAATCTCCCCATCTCCTAATCTGTCCCCATCGCCGCAAACGTCGAGCCAGCTAACCCTTCCGCGCCAGTGATTCCACTGGCGCCGGTAAACCCGCAATATCAGCTTGATCTTCGCGCGGTCTGTCCACCGACGACTGTTTCGAAACTCCCTTCATCGCATGGCGGTTCAGGTACCTCAGCCTACTGCTTACTGCTAAATCCAGCCCCGGCCCTGACTGGCTCCAATCCGTGCCTCGGCTCTCACCACTCCATCTGTCTCGATCCTCAACTCTTGACCAGTCTACCTCCACTGACCGCGCTGCTCATCGCTGTGAATCCGAAACGCCTCCTTCCTCCATCTTACTCACCCTCCACCTACCCGCCATCCATGCCCTGGTGGCATTCTCTCCGCAATCATGGCCAATGTTAGCCCGGCTCTGCTCGGCGCCGCAAAACCGTAAGTCACTTTCCCATGGTACATGTTCGTATATCCCGCCCAAAGCCCCCTCGGAGAGCTCTCCGGTCCATCGTTTTCAAGCCTTCTCGGCCGTAACCCCGCCCCTGCCCTAGATGACCTCTGCTAATACTCAATGTCAACCAGGATAGCCCGTGCTTTCGCCCTTGCCTACCTCTCCGCCACCACTCCGCGCCTCCTGTCAGCGCTGCTTGGTGTTGCGCGTGGCAAGAGATCCCCAGCGGAAGCACATTCCCTCGTAAGTTGCACGGACAGCCCGCCTCGTGGTCTTTGCCCCCTTCCCCATGGAACGTAATTCCGAGAACCTGTCCCCTCGTCGTCCACTTATGGCCATTTCCATTGTCATGGCACTGGGTTGGAAGGTTCGGCCCGCCACGTTTCAACTCTACCCGCCGGGTAGACGCTCTTTGTGCCCTAATTATGACCAAATGTATCACGGCCGTATGTTCCATTGCTGACCTTTCTAGATCGCGAGCGCACTCCGCCAGGCACTGGAATGGAATCGCTTTCCGGCCTTTTGTGCCTTCCTCATTGGCGGGTCGAGCGCGCTACAGCTTCCGTTTCGCCGCCTGCTTCGTCAATTAAATGGCCGGTCGAAGAAGTGGCATCTTGACGGCCTCATCGTCAAGCGGCTAGCGCGCTTCCTCGCCGCGCTGCTTGCTGCCGCTGCGGGCTTCGAGGCGCTGAACAGTCGCCCGTACTCTGACGCAGCTGCCCGTGTCTATCTCGCCGAGAAGGCTGAGAAGACCAGCACACCGCAGCCAGACAAATCATTGCCAATTCCTACTCACCCCATATCAGCAGCCCGCATCCCCCCACTCGCGGGTTACACCCTGCCTCTAACCCTTTTTGCATTCACACGCGCTCTGGACACCACCTTGCACCCTCACGTGCCCAAATGGACACCCGCCGCTACATTCGCCCTCTCCTCGGCCGCCATCATGCATGCCTTCTTCTACACACCTAACCGTCTTCCACCAGGCTATGCGCGGTGGATATCTCTTCTAGCAGATCTAGACCAGCGCCTTATCAAAGTCCTCCGCGAAGCGCGCTATGGAAATTTTGTGTACGGAAAGGATACCGGCATCAAAGACCTGCTCGGAAGCTTCTGCCGGGAGTTAGGTCTCCCAGAAAAATGGGGTGATCCCGCCGTCACCATCCCAATTCCATGTCTTGTTGTCCACCAGGGAGAGTGTCGGTCGTGCGAACGCAACGCCATCAAGCGTGCTCTGCGTGCTGCACGCCAGGCACTCTCCCTTTACCTACCGTTGCAGATCATGTTCTTGATTCTGCGGCGATTTGGTGGCGCGAAGATTAGGATCGCAGCTCTGCGTCGCCTGCTTGCAAGCAGCGCACGGTCGGCGGCATTCCTAGGCTCATTTGTCGGTCTCTTTTGGTATGGAGTATGCCTTGCTCGAACACGGGTTGGACCCAAGTTGCTAGGAAGGTGGATCGGGCCGCAGGCTTGGGATGGGGGACTGTGCATCGCAGCTGGTTGTTTGGCATGTGGAGGGAGCGTGCTTATTGAAGACGCAGCGCGGCACGTGGAACTGAGCTTGTTTGTGCTTCCCAGGGCGCTGGGCATAGTCCTTGGCCGGTTCTATGAAAGGAAGTATTTGAACTGGGAGAGGGGCGTGTTTTGTGTCTCTGCAGCAACACTGATAGCCGTGGCGAGAGAGAGACCGGAGAGGGTGAGAGGGGTTTTTGGGAAGATACTGCAGGGCGTTTTGGAGGGTTGATCTCGAGAATGTTGTGTACGATTATGTATGCAGTTCAATGTAACATTTTATTCAGCCGATTTCCCGAGAGATGTGAATGCCTTTGATCTTTGGCAACCTCGTTCACAGACCCGATTCGCTTTAATTGCTCAGTGATTCGGATGCTCTTCCGCCAAAAAAAAAAGCCTTACTCTACCAAATAACGCTCGCAAGGCTGAGACCATTCACTCAAGCCATTGGAGAAAACGGTCGGCCCGAACCCGAACGTCCGATTCGACACCATTGTCGTCCCCATACCGCACTTCCCGCGTCGTCTAAAATGGTCAAAGACAAAAAAAAGATCAACTCTGGACTCGCCGGGAATCGAACCCGGGACCATCCGCATGCTAAGCGGATATTATACCACTAAACCACAAGCCCGATGGTTGATTGGACGAGTTTCCCATTTTTAAAAAATGATTGGGATGCAACGAGCTCAACATTACCTGATGATATCTCGCTCTCAAGCCAGATTTTGCGTATGTCCTATGAAAACGAGGCGCATTTTATGCGGCCTTGAGAGGATGCTAATGATGAAATTCGGAGGCCGGGATGTGAAAGTCTAGCCGCGCGGTCAACATGATTGACAAAGGAAGCCGAGTGGTGTTCACGGTGTTCCATTTTGGGCATCGGAAAAGCGTTGGGACGAGCCGGGATCTCAAGATTTGGGGGCCGACTTCACCTGCCAAGATCTAAACACCAAGACCTGTTCACCTCTTGAGCTGGCTAGAATAGGCATCTCGAAATCCCATACATGTCTCTTGGAGCTCGGACTATGAGGCGCATTTTCTGGGCATCTCTTTGCCGGTTTCTTGCGTTGTATCGGAAGTATCTCCGCGCGAGCATTATCTTCGCTGATGTCCAAGATCCGCAGTGCTAAAGGTCCGCCATGGCACTAATATGCTACACTCAGCCATCCCTATCGCGGGTGGTTTCTGGGCTGCGGCCGACGCTTTTGCTACGTTTCTTGTAGCCAAACATATGACATGCCCCGACATATATCCTCAATATCTCAAATCCATCTAAGCCCCTTAGAATCTTAGGGCTCCTGGTACACCTAATTGAATGATCGCCCCTTGGCATAGCTAGTTGACGAGACTTAGGCGAAGAACATCGATTGCTGCCATGCTCAGGTTAGCAGCGGGACTCAGAAACAATCTGTCGGCTTAGAATTCGAGTACAATGCAATGTCATCAGAAGTGTGCTGCAATGTCGAGCGGTATCTAATGCAAATTCCGTCGGACGAGCCTCAGCCTCAGCCGGCTAATGCACTGTTAGTGTTTCGACATCAACACAACGGTATCCTTGCCCCGACAACGTCTTGGCCGTACCTTTTGCCTGGAATCCCTTCCAACCATGCCGAAAGATTCGTCCTAAAACTGGAGAGGATACGATTCCACTGGCCACGAGCCTGCGCCTCATGGGCCCTAGCTTCGTTGGCTGGGCATGGTACCTGATGAAGAAAGGGTACTTACTGTCGCGCATAGTAGTATGGGGTGTCACCACGATGCGCAGGGCAGCGTTTCGCTTCATCTGTCGTTTTGATTTTGTCGATTTCAGCGATTTCCGCCTTGCATTTCCTTGTTGTTTAGTGCTTGGATTCGTCTACGGGCATGAGTTTCGATTCTAGACGTGCGGGACTCATAGGGCTATTCACTTCTGTTTTGTCCCCACTCGCATCAGCAATGACCACCACCAAGGCTCCTGAACTGCACCAACTCTACAAACGAGCGGCTGATCCTAGTTTCCGAGGCTATGAGGTTGGCTCTAATGGAACATGTAAGCTGCAGTCTGGCGCATATCCTTCAAGCAGACCTAACGATGTTCTGTAGATACCGCCCAGTATTGCGGACCAGGTTGGTCAAAAGTCGTAGCCGACATCTACGAAGTGTGCTGCGACCGACCAGACTGCCAACCATGGACAACCTGCCGCAGCCGAACTCACTACGACCCCAAAGGCCAATCCTACATCTGGTAGGTCTCACCGGTGCGGCCAAGCATCCAGCCCTGACATTCCCAGCGCGGTATCAGACAAATGTGCAACATGGACCTTTATCGACAGTCTCGGGGAAACAGCCGCCGTGCACTACGAGTACAACTGCGGCTCGGACCGTACCGTCGTCCAGACCGTCCCTCCCGGAGCCACCATCATCAAGATGCGTGTCACGACTACCGTCAACAATGCGGGCAAGATAGATTACAGTACAGCGAGTCCCTTCGTCGTCTCAGCCGCGCAGAAGACCCTCACTACGCCCACAGCGACGAAGAAGATTACTGTTACCGCAAGCGCCACAAGCTCAAATGCTACTCTCGCTGCCGGAAGTCCGTCCGCCGCACCCGAGGCCAAATCATCATTATCAGCATCAGGCGGAATGATCGCGGGCATCGCCGTCGGAGCCGTCGTCGTCGTCGCTCTCGTAGCACTGCTGAGCTGGCTTTTGTGGCGGCGGAGACAGAAGCGCGCTGGCGCGAGGCCGATGGATTTAGGGCCGGATATGGGTGCTTCCAGGGGCCCGACGGCGGACGGAGGCTTCGTGCCGGTTGGGCGGCATGAGCAGCACTTCGTGGCGGAGATCGATGGGCAACCGGCCTATGCGGAGATGGAGACGGCGCCGGGACGGGTTAAGCTGGCGTATGAGATGGGATCGCCGAATGCGCAGACGAAGCCGACGTATGAGATGGATGGGGGAGCACATGTGCCGAATAATGCCAAGAGATGATTGTCCGCCAGCGGGAGCTGCGTACTATTTTGCATCGGAATACAGGTCTCAGGGGGTAAGGATGCCGAGATGGGCGTGTGAATAGACGGTTCCGGTCAACCACAAAGTTTGTGAATGGGGCAAGGAGACCTCATAGGCGTTGAAGAGGTATCAGAGGCACGATACCAAGTTTTACACAAGACAGCATTCCTCTTCTTTATAATGGATGTCTAACTCCCTTGTACCAAGTTTGATCCATATCTACTATGACGGTGTATTCACGGCTTCCTTGGGGTGAGGTGAGGCCTGCTAGTGAGTGCACCTTGGCTAGATCTAAAGCCATCTTGGGGAAACAGAACTGACTCTTAAGGGTTATCTATAGGCCGGTAGCCATGTATATTCACGAGGCCTCAACAAGGCGCTATCATTCACCGGTCAAACCGCCGATACCCCCCCTTCGCCTTCCCCGACGCCTACTTGCCCGCACGTTTCCTCACCACAAACCGAGCAACCCTCCATCGACACCTATTTTCAAGCATTTTTAACAGCGATATCCCCTAACAAGTCATATTGTGAGCTGTGGTAAGCCTCCGGAATATGCTTAATGTTACTTGTCTAACCCCTCGCCGAGGAAAGTAGCCAGCACATTAACGATCCGGCATTCAATCGCTCGCATTGAATTGCCCACTATGGCAGAGCCGATTGATCAGTACGGGCTACAGTGGGTCGAAGGCCGCCACGGCTTCAGCACCGAGCCCAAGTGGACGCGCTATCCCCACCCCGGCATCCTCGAAGCCATCGTGCGCGAAGTCCTCCAGCTTGACCTATCGCCGTCTTGCCGCATCCATCTCGAAGGCTCTGGATCCTATAACCGGATGTATGGCGTACAGACAGACAAGGCGTACTACGTCTTCCGAGTGACTCTCCCGGTTGATCCATACTTCAAGACTGCGAGCGAGGTGGCCACGCTGAAGTGGCTCCACCAGAATACCGATATCCCAGTGCCGAAGGTGCTCGCTCACGAAGCTTCGAGTCATAATGAGCTCGGGTTTGAATGGATGCTGCTGGAGTATAAGCCCGGGACACCGCTTCGTAAGAAGTGGCGGGATTTTTCCATGGAAGTCAAAACCAATATCATAAAGCAACTGGCGGCCTACCAAGCCCAGCTCTATGGGAAGAAATTTGCGGCTGTCGGCAATCTGTACATGCGCAGTGAGTTCATATCGTAAATACAGCGTGACCTACTGACTCCACTCAGGGGATGACACATCGATCGCCCCGGATGCGCGCATGTCGGTGCAGACCTTCACTGGCACCAGCTCATCCACAAATGATTCTAGCAAGCCCCCAGCTTCTGTGCTTCAGAAGATCGTCAAGAAGCTCGGGCACTCTCAATATTCTCCACCGGTTTTCGAAATGGGACCGATCGTGAGCTCAATCTTCTTCCACGACGAAAACGTCAACCTCGGCATTCCTCGTGGTCCGTTCAAGTCCAGCGAGGAGTGGATATCCAACCATCTCGCCGCTCTCCTGGCCTCGCAAGAGATCATCGCCGAGAAAGCCGCCTTTGTTCAGGAAGTCGAACAGGCGCACAAGGTGAAGGCAGTCGCGCAGCAAGCCTTTGCCTTGGTCAGTGATATCTTCAAGACAAAGAAGCCGGAGGAGACTTCACTCGTCCACAGAGATCTGACGCTTGACAATATCTTGGTGACCGACCAGGGGGATATTTCTGCCATCATCGACTGGGAGGCTGTGCCATGCTTGCCCGCCTGGCGCGCCGCGTCGATGCCATCACTTCTCAGAGGACCCGTGCGCAAGGAAAAGCCGAATGCCCGTAACTTCAAGAACTTCAATGACGCCAAAACCCTGGATGATCCGACTCTCCCGGAAGTCCTCTACTCCTCGAGAAACACTTATTGGGCACAGGTGTTCGAACACGAGAAGACTCTACTGCGGGACGTGTACGAGCAGGAGATGAGCAAGCTGCAGCCGTCATGGGCGAAGGAGAGGAAGGCCGGCATTATAAAGATGAGCTTCTTCTCGGGGTTGGACAATGCGCACATTCCTCGCGGCTGTGAAATCTTCCGGGAGTGGTTGACTTGTTACAAGGTGATCGGCGACAAGATTTGGAACATCGATGAGCGGATTTACGGGGGACTCTAGTGGAAAGGTGGACAGTGTCGCGCACAGAAAAGATGATAGAGCGATACCCGTAGAATTGAGTTTAATATGATTTGACACTTCCATGCACAAGGACAACTTTGTCGCTTCTCTGTCCACGGTAGTAGCTTCAATATCACGTGTTACCCCAAAGCGCTCCAGCAGGGTTACTTGCAGCTTAGCTCTTTCCCTGCCAAGAGGCTGAAGATCTGGATGCGGTTCCGGGGGTGTGGGTGGCAGTGGGTGGCTTCATCTCATCTTATCGATTTACTAGAATTCCTGCATCGACGTTCGTCTTCTGCAGTACTGGTACATACATTCTCAAGATTTGCATGTACGCAAGTGCTCTACGTGCACATATTGAAGGGTGACATGCGGCTCTCGAAGCGCATTCCCGTCGCGTTTCGCTCACCTTTCACTTGGTGTTTGGGAATTGCTAGCTCGTGCGGTGGTTTATACTGTGTAGGCGGGATCAAGGATGGGATCGGACGGGATACCCTGCCATCTTTTCCTTCACGAAGT